CAGCTGCCACAGACTGCAAGCAGCCCAGTCAGCGATGACTGCTCCTGTAGCACGAAGCATTTTGCGCAGGCGCAGGCCAATGAAACGTTTGTCGTTTGTCGCTTGTCGCTTGTCGGTTGTCGTCTGTCGCGCTTATCGCCACGCACTTATCTCAAATACCTCGCAGCAGTAGGAGCCAAAGGAATGGAAGGAGCTGTTGTAGGCACAGGAGGCAAAACGGAGGCGGGCAGCCTTAACTGAACGCTTGAGCGATTGCGGGCTCACACAAGTGTCGCCAAGCCAGGCTGACTCGGGTGTCTTCGTTTTGCCTGCATTGCCTGACTCGTAACAATCATCTATGCATGTACACTGAGAGAAAATGTACATCGAATGTTGTAGGTTAAGTTTTGAGTGTGAGAGGAAACATAATTTCTGTGAAGGTAACTTAGACGACGTAATCTGATCAAATATATCATTTAAAATTTCTATTACTTAAAGTACAAAAATAAAGTGCAGTGCTTGATATTTCTTAAATTAATCAAAAATAATTATAATATTTAATAATAATTATTTTTTTGAGCAGATTTTAATATATGGAATGATTAATGCCTAATTCAACAATGCAAAATAGGATTTTGTTCTTTTAAATTCAATGTTGGGTTTATTTTTCAAACAGCGTTTTTCTTCGAGTGTTTGGTTGGAAGGTCTGTGGTGCGATGCGATCTTCCTTTTTGGCTGCCTCCTTGGACAATGTTTGTATCTTAATTTTCAAGCGCGCATACGTGGAATGCTCCTCGAGCTGCGCGTCTGAGTTACGAGTTGATGGTGCTGAAAGTGACACAAGTCATAAATTCCTTTTGTTTGCCAACTGGCTGGTGCTCGCTGCCTCGCTGCCTCGCTGCGTCGCTTTTGCCTCTCCTTCGGAAACGTTTCGACTGAACGTTGACAATTTAAACTGAATGAAATTGACTCAGTGTTTTGGGGTTCGCCTCACTTATCTCTATCGCAGTTGGCCGATCAGCTTTGCGTTTGCTACGTTTTCGATTGGTCACATCGATCGGTAGCGCTGTCAATTGGTCACATCCTTTGTTTATTCAATGTAGACAGTTGTTTTCACTATTGTTTTCTTCTGTGGTACAATATTTGAAAAGCATATTTGATTTGGCGCCATCGTAACAGGAAGTGTGGTGTTATAAAACTGTCATGTTATAAGGTTTCTGGTATAGAACTGAAATTAATATGCTACTAGGACCGTCATGGCCATGTACATGCACATTTCAATTGTTGTTGTTTTTCTAGAACTTGGTTTATGGAGCAGACGTGCGAGCATATTTACCGCTTGAGCGAAAGTCTGTGAGTCAGCTTCCTGTGTATTCGTTTGATTGCTTTTATTCATTTCACTTTTTTTTTTTTTGTTGTTGTTGGATTTGATAATTGGGTAAAGTTTGCCATGCTCTTATTTTCCATGTCAAGTCCCTGATCCTATTAATTCCTTTTTTTCGGCTTCATCTGTGCTTTGGGCCTCCCAGGGGTGCAGCCCGTCATAAACAGAACATGTCCAACAATTTTTCTCCAGACATTCGCAAAAAAGTAAAACAAAATATATGCACGAAATAAATATATACAGAGATATTTTTTTCGCCATAAATTTATGCATATTTATAAGCGAATTCATTTCGTGTCCATTCCAAATGCAAACAAATAACACGCAAAACAGCAAACGAAATAGAGTGGTAAAGGGGAGTGTAGGAATGTGGGCTGGATGAGTTGGAGGTGGTCTTTGGTGCGCTGAAAGCTATCAGCTAATTCCCCAAATCCCCGAATTAATAAAGCAGAGTACTACGAAAATGCCCACGAACAAAACCAACACGCGATTGGGCAATGAGTAAAATTCTGTCAGTTGTAGGAGAGAGGCTGTGGTTAACGTATGAGAGAAAACAGCAACGATTCTTAGCTGGAGATATGTGTAGGTAAAAGAAATATAAATATATATAGAGATGCATCCATCTATCAAGCAAAGAGCAGAGCAATAATAAGAACACAAAATTAGCCCGTGTAAACAAACATGTCAACACGAATAAGTAGTAGAATGAGATCGGAGAGAAACTAGTAGGAGTAGAGTTCATAAATTATGGCTGACATGTTGACCACCCTTCAAGAAGTGGGAGCACCTGCACCTGCCAAAGGAGCTGTTCTAGCAGGCATTCCCAGAAATCAACCTTAAAGTCGCTCGAGAGTCGTGGCCAAGTTTTATGGCAAGTGTCAACACTGAATTTTTAGTTCAGCTCATCGATCTCTTCCTTTGTCTGCTTCTCTCTCTCTCTCTATCTCTCGCTCCCTCTCTCTCTGTCTCTCTCTCTTTCTATGTGGACTGTCATGACATCTGGCTAAACAAAGACATTATTGATGCCCAGATGTGCGCTGATAAGACTGAGAAGACTGGCGAAGATTGTTGCAGACAAAAAAGACGGTCCAGTTCAGTTGAGTTGCAGTTCAGTTCAGTTGAGCAGCGTTGAGCTGAGGTCCATGATCAGATAAGTGAGATCGTTGGATGCCGACACAAACGAAAAAAAAAAAAATAAGGAAGAAAAAAAAACACGACACAGATAGAGAGGGAGACACGCGATGTCAGAGTTGCCACCGATGGCTCCACGTGAAACGTAACTCACTTTCAATAATTTATAGAAGGTAGTCAGGTGAAGTCTTGTCTCAACTCTTGGCAATTACCTTGAAATGCAGTCAAGAGGACTTGTTGACATGTCGTTACTGTTGTTTGTTCGTATATATGTTGTTTGTATGTTTGTATCTGTGCTCTGTCGCTTCAGGGGGGCCCCCAGACCTCTATCTGGGGTAATTGGATACTGTAAACAAGTCGTAGTCAGCTGTGGGATGCCCGGACAGACTCTAAACTACAACAAGATAAATGCGATGTTCGAGTGTAGATATGAGTAATGCTTGGGATCGATAGCAATAGATCAATATCAACATCAAGAGTGAGGAGTGGGGAGTGGAGGGGGTTGCTCAAAGTACTTCCAACAACTAATTGGCATAGGGAAAATGGCAGTTGAAAGTTTGATAGAGAAGCATATGCTTGATTGTATTTTCTTGGTAATAGATTTAGGATTAACTGGTTATTGTATAAGCATAGAAGTATAGATGTATGATGTATATATGTATAGATATATGAGCAATACATAAACTAGTTAAATAAAGATTTAAGGTGCATATTTAGCGGCCAGCTGTAGCTAACTGGAATAAGGAAAGTGTGAAGCAAAAAAAGGTTGTAGATCTTTAATATAAAATTGTTATACTGTGTTTTTAGATTGTGTGGATCAGTTTTGATACTTTTATTAGCTTAGCAGTCTAAGTGATTAAGGGACTCCACATAAGAACCCAAGAATCAGACTTAAAAGTGTAATAAGGGTAGAGGGTGATTACTTTATCACTTCACAAATCAGCTGGGCAAATAAGGCACTTGTAAACAGAGGGAAAGCTGTTGCCAATGAATGAAATGTCCTAAGTAAGTGATGGGAATTTTGTGAATACATTTAATGTATAGGAACAGTATCGGTGATATTTACTGTGTATAATAAAACAGTTCAAACTTCCAAATGCACCCGGATGGAGCATGTGTGACCAAAAAAAAAACTAGTTCTGCCACCAGATGATAGCTTAATCATTTATGTATATATATATATATATATATATATATGCTTCATAATATGTCATGTGAAAAGGTATCTGAAAAAGATGCAAAGTTCAACTTATTTTATTAAAATACCGAATGCATATTAAAATTCCTGCAATTTTGAAGACATATGTTTGATGTTATTTTATGCAAATCGGCGCTGATTTGATCAATTAATGATTGATATTAAATAATTAAAAATGCGAATGTTTGCTGTGGTTACTTCAAATGTGCAATCAGTCAGTAATATGTGAATCACAGCCGAGAATAATTCGAATAATTCATTGGGATTTGCAGCAATTTGTGCATAATTTAATTGAAAATTAATCTGTCTTTTGGCTTCATAATTAAATTGCAGCTGTAAACTTTTTACAGAGTTGGGAAAATGATTTTGGTTCAATTGGCTTAAAATGTTGCGGTTTGCCGCTGCAATTGTGTGAAATGCAATTGCAGCACGTAATTGGCTAAGCGGGCACTAAAGAGCCCGTTTGAATGCCGCATTGCCACATTGCCGCATGCCACATGCCACATGCCACAAACGACAGCATTACACAGTGGGCAACTTGTCAATGCAACTGACACATATATCACATCAGCATCTCCGGCAACGCATAATGTTTGTCATAACTGAATAATTGCATGAACACAGCTGAAAATTGTGGCAAGCATCAGCTGCAGACTGCTGCCACGCTGCCACTCTGCCCGTTGCGCCTAATTTAGCAATGGCAACGCCAAGTGCCGCATAAATGTTTTGTCAAATGATGCGACTTCTTCAAGTAGCTGCAACAACCGCGTCTGCCGCAGCCAGCAGCAAATTGCATTATTAGCCGCGGCCATAAAAAGTCAGCAGCAGCCTCTATCTCCTGGTTGAATGCCCCTTGCCACTTGCCACTTGCCTCTTGCCTCCTGTCACACTTGCTGCTGTTCTCGGGAGCCATTCAGTTTGATGTCTGCATTTTTAACGCCGCTGTGATGCAGAATAGTTGCATGTACTTTGATTACTCCTTCACTTTGAAGCTGTTTGACAATTTCCCTTCAATGCAGCTGCAATATTACCAATCTTCCCAACGAGGTCTTCAACAACAAGTATGTTGCCACACAATTATCGACACAGGCTCACAAATTGGTTATCTCTTGTTATTTTACCCTTAACAAAATGCTTGCAGGGGCTTCGTCAAAACTGAACCGAAACCTGAAATTTTTTGCATGTTTTATTACTACTTTGTCAGAATTGATGTAAAAATTGTAACGAGCTGTCTCGACTAGAACATTCTGACTTTAAGTGTTTCACTAATGAGTTATAAATATTATTCAATATATATTTTGCCAACAAATACAAATATTATTTTTAAACACGGCCAGCAACAAAAGCAACCCCAGAGCAAATCTAAGATGCAAAACACGTTGCGCCTTGTTTTTGTTCATGCTGCTGCAACAGCAATGCCCGCTGGTGGCATGCATCCGTGTGTGTTTATAAATGTGTGTGTGTGTGTGTGTGTGAGTGAATGCAAGTGTCTGTTGCAAATGTCTCAATTTCAAAGCAGGCAACCAGCAACGCCTGCAGCCGCATCAACAGCAATCAGAAAGAAGGCTGTTGTTGTTGCGGCTGCTGCTGCTGCTGCGGCTGGTGCTGGTCGGGCTAATGACAGGTTATCCGCAAAGATGCAAAAGCTGGCAACAGTGCATGATCCCTGGCCTGGCTACCTGCTAAGAGCAGCAACATTTTAGCTTACAGACCGACAGGCAGGAGCAGGAGTAGGAGCTGCAGGAGCCTTTTGCTCAATTGCCAATAAGTGGCAATGTGGTCGAGAGGCGTCTAATGTCTAAATTCAGTTGATGTTCAGAGCCTTTGTTGCTGCATCTTGAACGGAACCTTTTGTGTTGCCATTTTTCGGGGCATTGCATAACCCAAAGAAATAACCCATAATTACGGACTGTGTGCGAGAGGATTTGCCTTTTTCGACGACGCCTGTTGTTTGGTTTCACTGTACTTGAGCGCTGCCAGTCTCGTTTTTCGGGTTTAACAACTAAATTTGAAAATTTGACGCAAACAATGCTGAAACTTGTGGCCTCTCTGCCTGTCTGCCTGTCTGCCTGCCTCCAGGGTGCCAATACACAATTCAAAAAGAAAGAAGAGTCGAAGTCGGAGTCGGACTCTGAGTTTTAGTCTGGCCCAGTGCCTGCCTGTGCCTTTGCCTGGGCATATTTAATTAATTTATTTCGAGTGATCCCCGTTGTGGAGCGTGTGTGGACTCTGTGGCGTCGTCTGCTTTTGAAGTGTTTCAAAATTAATTCCGATCATCAGTTGTACAATCGGCTGATGTTGCTTCTGCTGCGGCTGCTACTTCTGCTTACCCCCGCCGCAGGAGATCTCCGTTGGTTAACCAACTCTCAATTTTTGTGTATACCCTGTGCCTCCAGAAGCGGACGAATGGGGTATCATGTTGCAGAATTGCAGACAATCAACTCAGATGTGTTCAAGAAACCAGATTTTTGACAATATTATTGTTTCTCATGCCCCATTTTCCTATAGCTCGATAAATATCGAAAATTAAGTTCTGTAAATTATTATGTAACTTATTTGGAATACAACCTTTCGAGTTAGCTACAGGGTATATGCCAGTCGGGCATTCGCGCCTGGAGTCCACTAACTTTGTGTTGATCCTTTGCTTGTGGCATGCTCAACGGCGCGTGATTCGAGCTCTTCCCTGGGCTCCTTGTCCTCCTCCTCCTCTCCCTTGATCTCCTCCTCCTCTGCTGTGGTTTTCGTTTGAATTTTTCGTGATTAGCACACGAATAAAAGATTGAGATATTGGACTGCGGGGCGTTATACGTGGGCGTGGCCAGAACTGTTTGTACCTTGGCAGCTGCTGGCAGCAATATAAAACTGAAATTTCATTGGTAAATGATGACGCCATAATCTGTATAAGCTTTCTGATACTCTTTCAATTGCGTATCAAGAATAAATACACTTACATCTCCTTCTACTTGGTATTGAACACTTATGCAATCTACTTTTGAATTGATGCAGGGCATCAAAACATGTGAGATCAGATTAACAGAGATCGGTAAAGTGAATCTAGTGTTATTTGTATAGTTAAAGGCTATTTGAGAAAAAAATGAACACATATTTTTAGAATTTAATTGTAACTAAAAGCATGTTTAAAAAAAAACACTAAAATCCGCAAATCCGAACTAAACGTTCGTCTACCAAATATACACTGAACATATATGAAACATATTAATATAAAAATGGTTTGGTTCGTAAGCAAATGAAAAGTCGATCTTAAATTTAACTTGCAGCCCCTGTTGTTTTATGTTGATTGCATTTGAAATATTGTTCATCTCATGATTAAATCCAAGTCTTAAATCCACGACATTTTGATCCTTCATACCTCACAGACTGTCACATTCCGTGGCAGCAGCAATTTGGTATTTAAGACACTTTAATCAATGCGGTTTCCTTGTGTATAACACACTCTACACTTTTCCCCTTTGTCAGCCACTGCGCATCTGCTAGAGATTATATAATTATACAATTATATTTACATTAAAAATCTGTTACATTCTGTGTAATTTATTCAAAAACCGAAAGCAGTTTCGTTTCCCAAGAACTCGGAGACACATGTTTCAGAAACACTCCCCCCAAAGTACAATAATCGATGGGCCCCGATGGGGTCCGCTCTTTTTGTAGGCAAACACGATGACAAAATCTCTATGAAAATAAACATTAGTTGAATTTCATTGAGTAAACTAAACAGCACGCACTTTCTATCTGTCTATATATATATATATATATACATATATATATATATTATATATCTGTCTATCTTGGTTGCTTTATCTGCACAGGAAATTCCGCTGTCGCCTCAATTGACATTTGTTATGTCAAAATTTGTGTGACAGCCATCAATCGTGATGTTGTTGCTTAGTTGCGTGCCCCCCTCTTGTGTTGACAAGCGTTTGCGTTTCGGGTCTAGAGTTTCAGCAGAGACTGTCAACGCTCAGACACGCAACGGGGACCTCCCAGAACTGCCCACCGTATATAAAACTTATGTGTGTGTTTTTGTGTGTGACCAAAGTTCTTAAGTGTTGCAAATGCATTACAGAAATTACACTTGCTTCCAGCGAAGCTAATATTAACCGTAACCTAACTGGGCTAACTGTAACGCTGCAGCCAATCGCTGCAGGTAAGTTTGCAACAGTTTGCAGCTGAAACGTTTTTGACCTACCTGCTACCTGCTGGCAGATCATGGGCCAACAATTTAATGGCCTTTGTGGTGATTTTTGGCAAGGCAAGGAAGTTGTTATAATAATAAAATAATATTTATTATTATGATTATTCTTCCTTGCTGGCACTTTTTATTTTATAAATTTTAAGCAAATATATTTGCTTTTAATTTATTATTATTATTTTATTTTTTATTTTTTGGTTTCCAGCAAACATAAACACATCAGCACAACTGTTGTCCTTCTGACGCTGTTATCCTGCGCACACATGTTGTCCCTTTAATTTCAGTTTTGTTTTGTTTTGTGTTGTTTCGTTGTTTCCCCCCGCACACGTTTTTAATGACAATTCCTGTTACAGTTTTGGTCTAGTTTTTCAATTTTCGGCACCAGATTGTTATCTTAATGACTCTATACATTTTTCTCTTGTCTCCTTCTTTTTTGTGGCAGAGTTTAACGTAAAGATGTTTTATTATATTTTAAATATTTTCAATTTCATTTCAACAACTGCTGCGCAGAGAGGCAAAAATGTTTATTCGTCTTCAGTCTGTTGGTCTGTTGGTCTGTGCTCTATTGTTAGTCCATCTTCCACTTGGCTGATGTGCTTGAAATGGAAACTCAAGTGTTTCTCATTTCATCGGGGTTTCATCAGGATGTGCGCTATGGCTAGCTGCTGAGTGTTTGCTTTCTCTTATAATAATCCAATATCATAATGTGTTTCATATTTTTGTGGTTTTTAACAGCCAGTCAGTTCAGGTAGTTGCCTCGACTTGGCTGCGACTCGATTGGTTTGCTGCGACTGTGTTTTCAACTACAGTATTAAAAAAAACACTAACCATTATTTGCCACAGTTATATATTAATTTCATAGATTTATTTTCTTTTATTATCTATTTAATTTGTCATTAAAAATTAATAAAGAAAATCACAAATTTTTTTTTCTTTCTTGAGTTCTTTGGGTATTTTTTGTTGTTCTCAAAATATTCAAGGGTTTTTTTGCGATATCTTATCAAACATGTATTTGTTATACTTTGTTAATAAATTTGCTATTTTTAGTTTTAATTTCAATGCGATGATACATTTCGTGAAAGCAAATGTGTGTCTCAATTTGGCTTTACGAGCTCAGGAGCCCACCGGGAAGTGGTTGCAGCTACTGAACATTGAGCCATATATCATTGTGACTGAAGCACAAATTAGATTGAATGCCACACACGCACACACTCACACTCACACACACACACACACACATACACACTGCACTGATGATTTCAAGTTGGGGTCGCTCACTTCAAAGCGCCCACAACACCTCAACAGTTGCACAATTACGAGCACTGACAACTCCCAAAGGTGTCCAGCGATGCCTGCGTTAACGGCAACGGCAACGGCAACGGCAACGACGACGACGATGACGACGACTCCGACGCAGTGGCGGCGCCGCTGCTGGCGTCATTCATTGGCGAGATACCCAAGTCCCCCCAGAGTGGTGCCCAAGCAAAGGGAGAAGGAGGTGGGTTGACTGAATGGAGGCAGCGAGTGCGGCTGGAAACTGGGTGCTAACAGAGTCCGTTTCCATTCATTTACGTTTTTGTTACTGTTTTCATTTCGCTTTTAACTCAGCCACCCCCCTATCCCCTACATTTACTCTGCCACAGCCTGCCCCCGCCCTTTTGGCTGCAGTTGAGTCAGTTTTCCATTGAGTTTTGACAAACGACTGACATTCATCAGTGTCAGCCACCCGCTTCCAATGCGCCTCCCCGCCTCCCTTCCACCATATGCCCCTATATGGACTAAAAACACAACAAAAAAACAAAGAAGAAGTGGAACTTGCGGCATGTTGCGATGCCAACAAATCAAAGGCACATTCCAGTCAGCTCCAACGTCGTCATCTCTGTCGCTGTCTCTGATGAGCCCGGCCGCAGCATCTGGAGCGCATTAATCGACACATTTTCTGTGTGTTTATACTCTGTTTCCCCACGGAGAAGACTGAGTATATTATCCGCTGGCCTCTTTTCGATAATAGCGGTACTTGGAGAGGACAAAGTTAAAATATATACTTGCTAATAACATCGCATCGTACAAGGAGACAAAGTGTTTTTCCAATTTTAGAGAATTTTCTTGAAGAATTCTTTCTTCGTTTTTGTTTTAATTTCTCAAAAAAAAAAAAAAAAACATATATACAAATAATTATATTCACAAATTTAATTATTTAATTTATACATTGCATAAAATATTTCTTCAAAAATATAGCGCTTAAGCAAATTTATATTGTTTTAACCAAACGATTTCTGGGTTTTATTCACTTCTCTCTCATAAAATGGCAGAATACTGTTTAACCAAATAGAATTAAATAGAATATTATATTATATTACAATAAATTAACACACAGTCACAGGGACTAACTCCATAAAAATTAAGTATAAAAAGAGTGTTCTCCACCCATTTTAGCTGCTCTTCATTCTAAGAACAGAGTATTGCATAATCCAGAGTTGCCTACTGAAATTGTTTTTTTTTTTTAGTATGTCAGCCGAGTCTTACCCTTGGGGCTTGCTCCAAAAGCGAGAGAGAGAGAGAGAGAGAGAGAGGAGGAGAGTGTGTGCCCCAACACAAAAAAGAAGAAGTTGTGGAGGCAGCTCACATCCTGTGCCGAGCGCTTTGAAGCCTCCCAATAAAATGAGCCGCACAGCAGCCACACGAGCAACACTATTTTCATTTTTCTTTTTTGTCTTTATTATAAACAAACGCAACTGGGCTCCCCCGTTGCACCTCCACCTCCGCAGCCCGTTGCAACCATCGCTCTGACTTTGACGCTGTGGCAGTAAATTTTTGCATGACAAATTGCCGATAAGATCAGCAGCAAAAGAGCGTCGAGCTGGGAGCGGGAACGGGAAGGGGAAGGGGAACGGGAAGGAAACTGCAGCAGTAACAGTCAAAAAAGTTGCGAAAGCAATGTGATGAGAGTTGTTGCTATTGTTGTTATTATTGTTATGGTTGTTGTCGTTGTTGTCGTTGTTGCTGTTGTTGTTGGCTGCTGCCACATCGTGACGTCTTCGCTGGCATCGTGTGCTGTGTGGGGGCTGCGCTTATTGCCTCAATTGCCGCACACCGTTGCGCTTTTTGGGTTCCCTTTTTGTGTCGCTTTTGTTTTGCTTATTTTGTTTTCTTGCTGATGCTTGTTGCATCAGAGCGGTGATGAATGTTGCCACAGTGGCAGAAGAACTATTTGTGCTAAGCCGAAATGCAGCTAATAAAGTAGACTAAGGTATAATTTACTAATACATAAGTTAACATATTTAATAAGAGACAGTTATATACTCAGTCACGAATATATCTGTTCTATGTGTCTTCCACAGATTTTCCTGTCGGAGGACTGAAGATGCAGATTTGAATTAGGTTATAACAATTTAGGATAGTACTCACAGCGATGGGCAGCTTTCTAGTATCAGATGAATAGCCTAATTCCCACTCTCAGTATGTATGTAATGTCAGTATGTCATATGTCATCATTTTCCACACAAAGTATAACTTCTGTCCGAAGTTGCGAATGTTAAAATTTGCGATGATTAATCGGATATTGTATCGATATTATATGAAAAGTATGGCAAACAGCTGATATTTTCAGAAAGTTGTTTGAATTAACCACAACACAGACTCATAATGAATTCGCGAAGTGTCAAAGCAGTGAAATCAGGCTATAACTGTCATCATATTCCACGTCTATATTCTATGTTTAATTAACTAAATTGGTAAGCACTTTTATCATGACTACTATTAGACTAATGACTTCATTAGACTAATACCACATGCAGATAGAGTTTGTTAAACACAGTCTGATATTCACTCTTCAAAAGTATTTGTACATATTTAATTCGCTTCAGTCTTCGCTAACTGGAATCGTTATCAAATTAAACGTTTGCCCCACTGTGCAGTCGCTTCATCTCAAGCTTCAGAGCTCGCTGATGCCTGTGGCCAGCGCCGAGACGAAAACCAGCACAAAACTTGAAAACCCGATTCGCGACTCGCAACTCGCAATTCCCCTTAACGATCTGCTCATTTAACGCGTTTCTGTTGCAGAGTTGTTTTTTATGAAGACATTTTTCCCACTTCCATGCCGCCGAAATTGAGACATTAAAAACTCCAACCGCTGCTTGCCCCGCTAACCGCTGCGCCCCCCCAAACCTCTCCTGCTCTTTAGTTTGCGTTGATATTACGTGCGGCCAGCGAATTTCACGGCAATAATTCGTAGGGGCCAAGGGCCAGTCTGAGGGCTAAGGGGCTAAGGGCAGTCTGAGCGCAAAAAAGAAGAGAAAGACAGGAGTATAAATTTAATTAGGGGCGTTGCATTTCATTTGTTTTCATCATCACTTTCCGGGATATGAGCTGTGCATCTTATCAGTGGTCAGCTGCAGTTGCATCATCATCATCATCGGCTTTCTGAATATCATTAACATTATCAGTCGCTGCTTCAGCGGCTCATCATCATCAATATGCTATCAATGTTTACGCATGCATTTAAAAAGCATATTAAGTTACAGCTCAGGGAAACAGAAAGAAAGAGAGGGAAGGTATGCGAGTGAAAGAGATAGATAGATGGCTAGTTTGTTTGGAAATATCACCCTCGGTAAGTCTGGCCCTCCCGCCCGCAGCTCTGACATTAACAAATGATATTTGATTATGAGACAAATTGTGTGATGCGCCGACAGACGTTGAGAGATCAACACGGAGAATTTTAGGAGCTGGAGTTACAAGCATATGCATCTATGAGTATTTGAGACAAAGGGGGGGAAT